CACAGACAGACACAGACAGACAGACAGACACAGACAGACAGAGACAGACAGAGACAGGCAGACAGACAGACAGACAGAGACAGACACAGACAGACAGACAGACACAGACAGACACAGACAGACAGAGACAGACACAGACAGACACAGACAGACAGACACAGACAGACACAGACAGACAGACAGACACAGACAGACAGAGACAGACAGAGACAGGCAGACAGACAGACAGACAGAGACAGACACAGACAGACAGACAGACACAGACAGACACAGACAGACAGACACAGACAGACAGACACAGACAGACAGACACAGACAGACAGACGGACACAGACAGACAGACACAGACACAGACAGACAGACAGACACAGACAGACAGACACAGACAGACACAGACACAGACAGACAGACAGACACAGACAGACAGACACAGACAGACAGACAGACACAGACAGACACAGACACAGACAGACAGACAGACACAGACAGACAGACACAGACAGACAGACGGACACAGACAGACAGACACAGACACAGACAGACAGACAGACACAGACAGACAGACACAGACAGACACAGACACAGACAGACAGACAGACACAGACAGACAGACACAGACAGACAGACAGACACAGACAGACACAGACACAGACAGACAGACAGACACAGACAGACAGACACAGACAGACAGACGGACACAGACAGACAGACACAGACACAGACAGACAGACAGACACAGACAGACAGACAGACACAGAGAGACACAGACAGACACAGACAGACACAGACAGACAGACACAGACAGACACAGACAGACAGACACAGACAGACACAGACAGACATCACATCCTCCCAAACTGAGGCCTGCCCATCACCTGAGAGGCGGGACTTCCTATTATCTAGGGATTCAGGCCTGTCCATCACGTAGGGGCGGGACTTCCTGCAGACTGGTCAATCAACCCTGTCCATCCCCAGGGAGGGGGGCGGGACTTCCTGTACCTTAGTAAATCAACCCTGTCCATCACCTGGGAGGGGGTGGGACTTCCTGTTAGCTATGGATTTAGTCCTGTCCTTCACCTGTTGGGTGGGACTTCCTGTTTCTTAGGGATTCAGGCCTGTCCATCACGTGGGGGGTGGGACTTCTTACCTTTTAGTAAACCATGCTTGTCCATCACCTGGGGGCGGGACTTACCTTCTGCTTTCCTTCCAGGGGGGGCGGGACTTCCTGTTTATGAGGGATTCAGGCTTGTCCATCCCCTGGGGGGGGCGGGACTTTCTGTATATTAGTAAATCAACCGTGTCCATCACCTGGGAGGGGGTGGGACTTCCTGTTTCTTAGGGATTCAGGCATGTCCATCCCCTGGGGGGGGGCGGGACTTCCTGTATATTAGTAAATCAACCCTGTCCATCACCTGGGAAGGGGTGGGACTTCCTGTTTATGAGGGATTCAGACCTGTCCATCACCTGGGAAGGGGTGGGACTTCCTGTGTATTAGGAATTCACGCCTGTCCATCACTGGAGGGGGGCGGGACTTCCTATTTATTACTAAATCAGGGCTGTCCATCACCTGGGGACGAGATTTATCTTCTGGTTTCCTTCCAGGGGGGCGGGACTTCCTGTAGTTTAGTAAACCGGGCCTGTCCATCACCTGGTGGGCGGGACTTCCTGTTCATTAGGGATTTTTACCTGTCCTTCCCTTGGGGGCGGGACTTCCGTTCTCCTTTCCACTCTCGGGGGCGGGATTTCCTTTTAGCACGGTTTTTCCGGCTTGTCCATCTCCTGGGTGGGCGGGACTTCCTGTTGCTTAGGGATTCGGGCCTGTCCATCTCCTAGGGGGGCGGGACTTCCTGTTTCTTAGGGATTTAGACCTGTCCATCTTCTAGGGGGGCGGGACTTCCTGTTCATTAGACATTTTTACCTGTCCTTCACTTGGGGGCGGAAATTCCGATCTGTTTCCACCCAGGGGGGCGGGACTTCCTGTCAGCGGGGTTTTCCGGCCTGTCCGTCTCCTAGGGGGGCGGGACTTTTTGTCATCGGGGTTTCCCATCCTCTTTGGGGGCGGGACTTCCTGTGAGCGGGCCTGTCCATCTTCTATGGGGGCGGGACTTCCTGTTCATTAGACATTTTTACCTGTCCTTTACTTGGGGGCGGAACTTCCGATCTGTTTTCCACCCAGGGGGGCGGGACTTCCTGTCAGCGGAGTTTTCCGGCCTGTGCATCTTCTAGGTAGGCGGGACTTCCTGTCAGCAGCCTTTTCCGTCTCGGGGAGGGCGGGGCTTCCTGTTTCTCGGTGATTCCGGCCTGTCCATCTCCTAGGGGGGCGGGACTTCTTGTCATCGGGGTTTCCCATCCTCTGTGGGGGCGGGACTTCCTGTGAGCGGGCCTGTCCATGTCCTAGGAGGGCGGGACTTCCTGTCAGCCGCGTTTCCGGCCCCGGGGTGGGCGGGACTTCCTGCTAGCGGGGTTTTTCGGCCTGTCCATCTTCTAGGTAGGCGGGACTTCCTGTCAGCAGCCTTTTCCGTCTCGGGGAGGGCGGGGCTTCCTGTTTCTCGGTGATTCCGGCCTGTCCATCTGCTAGGGGGGCGGGACATCCTGTCATCCCGCGTTTCCGGCCCCGGGGTGGGCGGGGCTTCCTCTCAGCGGGCATTTCGGTCCCCGCGGTGGGCGGGACTTCGTCTCAGCCGCGTTTCCGGCCCCGGGGTGGGCGGGACTTCCTGTGAGCGGCGTTTCCGGCCCCGGGGTGGGCGGGACTTCCTGTGAGCGGCGTTTCCGGCCCCGGGGTGGGCGGGGCTTCCTGTGAGCGGGGATTTCCGGTCCCGTGGGGGCGGGACTTCCGCTCACCGCGCGCTCCCGTCCGCGCAGGCGCCGTGGGAGGCGGCGCGGCTGCTGGCGCTGGCGGCGGCGGACCCGGCGCTGGAGGCGCGCGGCGGGCGGCTGCTGCGCATGCGCGGCGCGGGCGGCGGTGGCGCGGAGGAGGCGCGTGCGCACGCGCGGGCGCGGGACGTGGCGCTGCAGCGCGCGCTCTGGGCGCGCAGCCGCCGCCTGGCGCGCGCGTGACGTCAGCCGGGCCACGCCCACCGCCCTGGCCACGCCCCGGCGAAGAGGGCGGCCGGGCCACGCCCTCCAACGGTCCCAGGCCACGCCCACCGCGCTCCACCCACGCGCCCGGGACCGCCAGGCCACGCCCACGGCTTCCCCAGGCCACGCCCACCGCCCTGGACGCGCCCCGGGGGAGATAACGGCTAAACCACGCCCACTGGGAGCCGCCCACGCAGCGGGAGCGAGCCAGGCCACGCCCACGGCTTCGCCAGGCCACGCCCACCGCCCTGGACGCGCCCCGGGGGAGATAACGGCTAAACCACGCCCACCGGGAGCCGCCCACGCAGCGGGAGCGAGCCAGGCCACGCCCACAGCGCTCCACCCACGCGCACGGGCCCGCCAGGCCACGCCCAGCCCTTCCCCAGGCCACGCCCACCGGCCTGGACGCGCCCCGGGGGAGATAACGGCTAAATCACGCCCACCGGGAGCCGCCCACGCAGAGGGAGCGAGCCAGGCCACGCCCACCGCCTCCCTGGCCACGCCCAGGGTGAAACGAAGGCCAGGCCACGCCCACTCTTATCCACCTACGAGGAAACAACGTCCCTGGCCACGCCCCTCGCCCCCCGAAGCCACGCCCACCCCCCCTGGCCTCCACACCCCGTGCAGCCACGGCCGCTAGGCCACGCCCACCAGGCTCCACCCCCTGGGAAACCATCTCCCAGGCCACGCCCCCTCGCCCAGGGCTGCTAGGCCACGCCCACCAGGCTCCACCCACAGGGAAACCATCTCCCAGGCCACGCCCCCTCGCCCAGGGCTGCCAGGCCACGCCCACCAGGCTCCACCCACTGGGAAAACATCTCCCAGGCCACGCCCCCTCGCCCACGGCTCCTAGGCCACGCCCACCAGGCCCCACCCAGTGGGGAAGCATCTCAGGCCACGCCCCCTCGCCCAGGGCTGCTAGGCCACGCCCACCAGGCTCCACCCCCTGGGAAAGCATCTCCCAGGCCACGCCCCCTCGCCCAGGGCTGCGAGGCCACGCCCATCCCCGGCCCCAACCCACCAGTGGCTGCTAGGCCACGCCCACCAGGCTCCATCCACAGGGAAAGCATCTCCCAGGCCACGCCCCCTCGCCCAGGGCTGCCAGGCCACGCCCACCAGGCTCCACCCACTGGGAAAACATCTCCCAGGCCACGCCCCCTCGTCCAGGGCTGCCAGGCCACGCCCACCAGGCTCCACACCCTGGGAAAGCGACTCCCAGGCCACGCCCCCTCACCCAGTGGCTGCTAGGCCACGCCCACCAGGCTCCACCCACTGGGAGAGCATCTCCCAGGTCACGCCCCCTCGCCCAGGGATGCGAGGCCACACCCACCCCCGGCCCCAACCCACCAGTGGCTGCTAGGCCACGCCCACCAGGCCCCAACCCACCAGTGGCTGCTAGGCCACGCCCACCAGGCTCCACCCACTGGGAGAGCATCTCCCAGGTCACGCCCCCTCGCCCAGGGCTGCTAGGCCACGCCCACAGGCTCCACCCCCTGGGAAACCATCTCCCAGGCCACGCCCCCTCGCCCAGGGCTGCCAGGCCACGCCCACCAGGCTCCACCCCCTGGGAAACCATCTCCCAGGCCACGCCCCCTCGCCCAGGGCTGCCAGGCCACGCCCACCAGGCTCCACCCCCTGGGAAAGCATCTCCCAGGCCACGCCCCCTCGCCCAGGGATGCCAGGCCACGCCCACCAGGCTCCACCCACAGGGAAAGCATCTCCCAGGCCACGCCCCCTCGCCCAGGGCTGCTAGGCCACGCCCACCCCTGTCCCCACCCACTCGTGGCTGCTAGGCCACGCCCACCCGCGCAGGCCCCGCCCCTCCCCAGCGCCCAGGGCGTCCCAGGGCGAAGAAGAGGCCAAGGATGAGCCACATGATGGATGTGTATTAAATCAGGATGCCAGGCACGCCCCTTCCGGTCTCTGCACATCACTTCCGGTCTCTGGATGGGTTGCCCTGGCGACCAGGCTGCGCAGGACGCCGCTTCGGGTCCCTGGATGCGTTTCCTTGGCGACCAGACTCTCCACAGGACGCCGCTTCCGGTCCATGGATGGGTTGCCATGGCGACCAGGCTGCGCAGGACGCCGCTTCCGGTCTCCCCCAGTCCCTGGTCCACGCTTGCGGGGATGCGCCCGGCCTGCCTCCGTTGCCATGGAGACGGGCGCAGGCACCGCGCGGACCACGCTGTGCGTAGGGGCGGGGCCTCGGTCTACTGCTGTAGGGACCACGCTGTGCGTAGGGGCGGGGCCTCGCTGAGCATAGGGGCGGGGCCCAGTTCTACTAGGGACCAATCTGTACATAGGGGAGGGGCCTAGCTGTGGGTAGGGGCGGGGCCTAACTACTGCTTTGGGACCATGCTGTGTGTAGGGGCGGGGCCTACCTCTGCGTAGGGGCGGGGCCTAGCTCAGCATAGAGGCGGGGCCTAGCTGGACTAAGGGACCAATCCATGCCTAGGGGCGGGGCCTAGCTCTACTAGGAGATCAATCTGCGTAGGGGCGGGGCCTAGCTGTACTAGGGAACCAATCCATGCCTAGGGGCGGGGCCTAGGACTATTACTAGAGACAGCACACTGTGCATAGGGGCGGGGCCTGTTGCTAGGAAACCAGTGTGCATAGGGGCGGGGCCTATCTCTGCTAGGGAACCAATGCATGAGGAGCGGGGCCTAGCTCTGCTAGGGAACCAATCCATCCCTAGGGGCGGGGCCTGGCTCTACTAGGGAACCAATGCATGCCTAGGGGCGGGGCGTAGCTGTACTAGGGAACCAATCCATGCCTAGGGGCGGGGCCTAGGACTATTACTATAGACAGCACACTGTGCATAGGGGCGGGGCCTGTTGCTAGGAAACCAGTGTGCATAGGGGCGGGGCCTAGCTCTACTATGGGAACCAATGCATGCCTAGGGGCGGGGCCTGTTGCTAGGAAACCAGTGTGCACAGGGGCGGGGCCTGGCTCTGCTAGGGAACCAATGCATGCGTAGGGGCGGGGCCTGGCTCTCCCAGGGGACCTATCCGTGGGCCGGGGCGGGGCCTGGCTCCGCCGGGGAGCCAATCGGCGGGCCGGGGCGCGGCGCCGCGGTGGTGGCGAGCATGGCGCCGTAGACGCCCGCGTCGGGGCCGTGGGGCCGCGCCAGGCGCGCGCGCGGGAAGCCGGCGGCGGCCAGCAGGCGGCGGTAGTGGCGGGGCGCGCGCTCGCGGCCGCGCGTCTGCAGCAGCATGTTGAGGCTGAGCATGCGCAGCAGCGCGGCGCGGGCGGCGGGGGCGCGGCGCGGCGGGAAGGCCTCGACCAGCAGCACGGCGCCGCCTGCGGGCGGGGACCCCCGGATCAGACCGGAAGTGGAGGATAGGGGGTCCCAGGACCGGAAGTGGAGGGTCGGGGAGTCTAAGGACCGGAAGTGGAGGGTCCGGGACCCTAGGATCAGACCGGAAGTGGAGGATAGGGGTATCCCAGGACCGGAAGTGGAGGGTGGAGAGGGTCCCAGGACCGGAAGTGGAGGGTCGGGGAGCCCAGGATCAGACCGGAAGTGGAGGATAGGGGGATCCCAGGACCGGAAGTGGGGTTCCAGGACCGGAAGTGGAGGGTGGAGAGGGTCCCAGGACCGGAAGTGGAGGGTCGGGGAGTCTAAGGACCGGAAGTGGAGGGTCCGGGAGCCCAGGATCAGACCGGAAGTGGAGGATAGGGGGATCCCAGGACCGGAAGTGGGGTTCCAGGACCGGAAGTGGAGGGTGGAGAGGGTCCCAGGACCGGAAGTGGAGGGTCGGGGAGTCTAAGGACCGGAAGTGGAGGGTCCGGGACCCTAGGATCAGACCGGAAGTGGAGGATAGGGGGGTCCCAGGACCGGAAGTGGAGGGTGGAGAGGGTCCCAGGACCGGAAGTGGAGGGTCGGGGAGTCTAAGGACCGGAAGTGGAGGGTCGGGGAGCCCAGGATCAGACCGGAAGTGGAGGATAGGGGTATCCCAGGACCGGAAGTGGAGGATACGGGGTTCTAGGACCGGAAGTGGAGGGTGGAGAGGGTCCCAGGGCCGGAAGTGGAGGGTCGGGGACCCCGGGATCAGACCGGAAGTGGAGGATACGGGGATCCCAGGACCGGAAGTGGACGATGGAGAGGGTCCCAGGACCGGAAGTGGAGGGTCGGGGAGTCTAAGGACCGGAAGTGGAGGGTCCGGGAGCCCAGGATCAGACCGGAAGTGGAGGATAGGGGGATCCCAGGACCGGAAGTGGGGTTCCAGGACCGGAAGTGGAGGGTGGAGAGGGTCCCAGGACCGGAAGTGGAGGGTCGGGGAGCCCAGGATCACACCGGAAGTGGAGGATAGCTGGTCCCAGAACCGGAAGTAGGGTCCCAGGACCGGAAGTGGAGGGTTAGGGCATCCCAGGAATGGACCGGAAGTGGGGGTCCGACGTGACTGAGACCGGAAGTCGGGGTGTGTCACGAGTCAGACCGGAAGTGGGGGTGGAAAAATGGGCAGAACCGGAAGTGGACAGTCAGAAGAAGTCAGACCGGAAGTGGACAGTAGGAGCGAGTCAGACCGGAAGTGGGGGTCGGGACTGGGTCAGACCGGAAGTGGGGGTCGGGACTGGGTCAGACCGGAAGTGGGGTAAGGAAATGGGTCAGACCGGAAGTGGACACTCAGAATGAGTCAGACCGGAAGTGGGGTCGGGATCAAGTTAGACCGGAAGTGGGGGGGCGGGAGTGGGTCAGACCGGAAGTGGGGGTCAGAAATGAGTGCGACCGGAAGTGGGGTCGGGAATGAGTCCGACCGGAAGTGGGCGGGCGGGAATGACTCAGACCGGAAGTGGGGTAGGGAAATGGGTCAGACCGGAAGTGGGGGTCGTGACTGACTCAAACCGGAAGTGGGTGGGCGGGACTCGGTCGGACCGGAAGTGCGCGGGGGCGGGGACTGGGAGTGGGCGGGACCGGAAGTGGGCGGGACCGGGACCGGAAGTGGGCGGGACCGGAAGTGGGGGGCCGGAAGCGGGCTCACCGGGGCGCAGGGCCGCGCGCAGGCGGCGCAGCAGGCGGCGGCAGGCGGCGTCGGGCCAGTCGTGCAGCACGCGCGCCAGCAGGAACAGGTCGGCGCGGGGCAGCGCGTCCCGGAAGAAGTCGCCTGCAACGCGCGCCGGAAGTCCCGCCCCCGCGCCGCCCGGAAGCCCCGCCCCCCGCATCCGGGCGTTCCCCCCCCCCGCCCCGCACCTGCGCAGAGCCGCACGCCGCCGCCGCCGCCGCCGCACATCCGGGCCTCGCGCAGCACGTCGGGCGCGTCCAGCGCGGACACGCGGCTCCCGGGGTACAGCGCCGCGCATGCGCGCGCCAGCGCGCCCACGCCGCCTGCGGGACGCACGCACGCACGGAGCGCGGCGCCGGCCACGCCCACCGCGCGGGGGACGCGCCCACAAGGGCCCAGGCCACGCCCACCCCAAGCAGGCCACGCCCACAGGGAGTAGGACACGCCCACCGCGCGGGGGACGCGCCCACAGTCACGTGGATCTGTCCAGGCCACGCCCACAGGGACGTAGACCCGTCTAGGCCACGCCCATAACGGCTAGACCCACCCAGGCCACGCCCATAACGGCTGGAGCCGCCCAGGCCACGCCCACAGAGCGGGGGACGCGCCCGGGCCACGCCCATAAGGGCTAGACCCACCCAGGCCACGCCCACAAGCAGTAGGACACGCCCACAGGGAGTAGGACACGCCCACAACGCGGGGGACGCGCCCAGGCCACGCCCACAGGGACGGGGACACGCCCACAGGGACGGGGACACGCCCACAGGGACGGGGACGCGCCCAGGCCACGCCCACAACGGCTGGAGCCACCCAGGCCACGCCCACAAGCCGTAGGACACGCCCACAGCGGCTAGAGCCACCCAAGCCACGCCCACAGGGACGGGGACGCGCCCAGGCCACGCCCACAACGGCTGGGCCCAACCAGGCCACGCCCACAGGAACGGGGCCCCGTCCAGGCCACGCCCACAACGGCTGGGCCCAACCAGGCCACGCCCACAGGGACGGGGACCCGTCCAGGCCACGCCCACAGGGACGGGGACGCGCCCAGGCCACGCCCACAACGGCTGGAGCCACCCAAGCCACGCCCACAGGGACGGGGACACGCCCACAGAGACGGGGACACGCCCACAGGGACGGGGACACGCCCACAGGGACGGGGACACGCCCACAGGGACGGGAAAGCGCCCAGGCCACGCCCATAACGGCTGGAGCCACCCAGGCCACGCCCACACGGACGGGGACCCGTCCAGGCCACGCCCACAGGGACGTGGAAGCGCCCGGGCCACGCCCATAACGGCTGGAGCCGCCCAGGCCACGCCCACAGCGCCGGGGACGAGCCCGGGCCACGCCCATAACGGCTGGGCCCAACCAGGCCACGCCCACAGGGACGGGGACGCGCCCACAGTCACGTGGATCTGTCCAGGCCACGCCCACAGGGACGTAGACCCGTCTAGGCCACGCCCATAACGGCTAGACCCACCCAGGCCACGCCCACAAGCAGTAGGACACGCCCACAGGGAGTAGGACACGCCCACAGCGCGGGGGACGCGCCCAGGCCACGCCCACAGGGACGGGGACGCGCCCAGGCCACGCCCACAGCGCCGGGGACACGCCCACAGGGACGGGGACGCGCCCACAGTCACGTGGATCTGTCCAGGCCACGCCCACAGGGAGTAGGACACGCCCACAGATACGGGGACACGCCCACAAGGGCAGAGGACACGCCCACAGGGAGCAGGAACCGCCCACAAGCTGTAGGACACGCCCACAGGGACTTAGAAAGGCACCGGCCACGCCCACAGTCACGTGGATCCGTCCAGACCACGCCCACAGGGACGTAGACCAGCCCAGGCCACGCCCAGAGGGAGCAGGAACCGCCCACAAGGGCCCAGGCCACGCCCACAGGGAGCAGGAACCGCCCACAAGCAGTAGGACACGCCCAGAGGGACTTAGGCAGGCACAGGCCACGCCCACAGGGACGGGGACGCGCCCACAGTCACGTGGATCTGTCCAGGCCACGCACACAGGGAGTAGGACACGCCCACAGGGACGGGGAAACTCCCAGGCCACGCCCACAACGGCTGGAGCCACCCAGGCCACGCCCACAGGGAGCTGGACGCGCCCACAAGGGCCCAGGACACGCCCAGAAGGAGTAGGACACGCCCACAGGGAAGTACACCAGTCCAGGCCACGCCCACAGGGATGTAGACACGCCTAGGCCACGCACAAAGGTAGCAGGACACGCCCACAGGGACGTGGACACGCCCACAAGGGCCCAGGACACGCCCACGCCAAGCAGGCCACGCCCACAGGGACGTAGACGCGCCCACAAGGGTCCAGGCCACGCCCACAAGGAGCTGGACACGCCCACAAGGGCCCAGGCCACGCCCATAACGGCTGGGCCCACCCAGGCCACGCCCACAAGGAAATGGACCCACCCACCATGACGTAGACACGCACACAGGGGATCCGCCCAGGCCACGCCCCCAATGAGCTGGACGAGCGCACAAGGGACTGGACCCGCCTAGGCCACGCCCACAACGGCTGGGCCCACACAGGCCACGCCCACTGTGAGCTGGGCCCGCCTGGCTACGCCCACATGTAGTTGGACCTACCCAAGCCACGCCCACAAGGAGCTGGACCCGCCCAAGCCACGCCCACAAGGAGCTGCACTCGAGCAGGCCACGCCCACAAGAGGCTGGACTCACACGAGCCACGCCCACAACCAGCCCGACCCACCTGCGAAGCCACGCCCACACTCAGCGGGCCCCATCTACCAAGCCACGCCCACTATAATCTCAATCCACCTGCCAAGCCACGCCCACAGCCAGCTAAACCCCACCAGGCCACGCCCACAACCCGCTAGGCCACGCCCACAGACAGCTAAACCCACTAGGCCACGCCCACAGCCAGCTCAACCCACCAGGCCACGCCCACAGGCAGCTCAACCCCCTAGGCCACGCCCACAGGCAGCTCAACCCCACGAGGCCACGCCCACAACCAGCTCCACCCACGAGGCCACGCCCACAGCCAGCTCAATCCACCTAAGCCACGCCCACAGCCAGCTCAACCCACCTAAGCCACGCCCATAGCCAGCCCAACCCACAAGGCCACGCCCACAGCCAGCTCCACCCACTAGGCCACGCCCACAACCAGCCCAACCCACCTGCGAAGCCACGCCCACACTCAGCGGGCCCCATCTACCAAGCCACGCCCACTATAATCTCAATCCACCTGCCAAGCCACGCCCACAGCCAGCTAAACCCACTAGGCCACGCCCACAGCCAGCCCAACTCAACTAGGCCACGCCCACAGCCAGCCCTACCCACCCAAGCCACGCCCACAGCTAGCTGAACCCCCCAGGCCACGCCCACAACCAGCCCAACTTAACTAGGCCACGCCCACAGCCAGCTCAAACCACCCAAGCCACGCCCACAGCTAGCTGAACCCCCCAGGCCACGCCCACAGCCAGCTGAACCCACTAGGCCACGCCCACAACCCACCAGGCCACGCCCACAGCCAGGTGAACCCACTAGGCCACGCCCACAGCCAGCTAAACCCACTAGGCCACGCCCACAACCCACCAGGCCACGCCCACAGCCAGGTGAACCCACTAGGCCACGCCCACAGCCAGCTCAACCCACCAGGCCACGCCCACAGCCAGCCCAACCCCACTAGGCCACGCCCACAGCCAGTCCAACCCACTAGGCCACGCCCACCATGACATCATCTCCTCCCCTCCCCACTCTGCACTTCCTGTTGTGGGCGGGCCTGCCATGGCACCCAGGGGACTAGGAACCGGAAATGAGGCCCTTGGGGGGGCGTGGCTTGACCAGTGACATCACCCGGGGGAGGCGTGGCCTGGGCGGGTATATAAGGCCGAGCCCTGCTGGGCTGGATCCCAGTCCACTTCCGGTCCCCGCCGACCACCGTGGCTCCGCCCAGGGCCCTAGGCCTCAGCCCAGCACCCAAGGCCTACCAGAGGGGGACTGAGCACAGCACCCAAGGCCCCCCCAGAGGGACTGAGCACAGCACCCAAGGCCCCCCCAGAGGGACTGAGCACAGCACCCAAGGCCCCCCAGAGGGACTGAGCACAGCACCCAAGGCCCCCCCAGAGGGACTGAGCACAGCACCCAAGGCCTACCAGAGGGACTGAGCACAGCACCCAAGGCCCCCCAGAGGGACTGAGCACAGCACCCAAGGCCCCCCAGAGGGACTGAGCACAGCACCCAAGGCCCCCAGAGGGACTGAGCACAGCACCCAAGGCCCACCAGAGGGACTGAGCACAGCACCCAAGGCCCACCAGAGGGACTGAGCACAGCACCCAAGGCCCACCAGAGGGACTGAGCACAGCACCCAAGGCCCACCAGAGGGACTGAGCCCAGCACCCAAGGCCTACCAGAGGGGGACTGAGCACAGCAC